TATGATGAAGTATTTTTCATGTGTTGATTTGAGATTTTTTGAGTTAATTATTTCTATCAAGGAAGTAGTATAGAACAGGGATGTTTATATGACTTCTGTATTTGATAATCTCAACATCAGAATTCTAGTACTCAAGGGATTGATGCTAGAATTCTGATGTAATCTTAAAACTTTAGTATTTCATGCATGTATTAAGAAAGAGATCACCAAGGGATTGGGCTTTCTGATTAATGTATCTATCAGGGTAGTAAGGGATTACATCTTAATGATAAGTAAAAGGTTGATTAACATCACATGGAAAGGAATTCGTCATATGATCAATTTTTACATGGGTTATTATGGAGGAAAGTTGTTTTCTGACTACTTGTTGTTTTATTAATTCCTAATCCATATTTACTTTGTGTCAAATTACTTACAATCAATTTTCTGGTGACAAATTATTCATGATTTTTACAAACTCTTATTTGATTCAAATTAGTTTTCTATGGTATATTGGTGTTTGAACACAATTCCTCGTGGGAACAATCTTTACTCATCATTTTATTACTTGTACGACTAGTGCACTTGCTAAACGTCCAACATCTCCCAGACAAATGGCCTAGAGGATGTCTTGTCATTGAATCTGGTTTCATGTGCAGCACTCCTCCATAGTGTTTCATCTTAGGAAGGTGGAGGAGTAGGCTCTTTGCCCTTGGTAACCCTGGGCCTCTTTTTGGTGTGTTGCTTGGATGGCGAAGACATGTTCCTGGAAGCAAAAAAAACAACAACTCAGTCAAAGAATCAAAGAAATTTGAGAAATAATGAAACCACAATTCCCATATTTAATTGTGAAAGAAGTGGTTGAGATGGATCCATAATCTAAAGGAGAGACAACCCCCACGATGTTGGATTGGTGTGCCCAAATCATGCATGTAACAGGGCCAACGCTCTAAAACATTCACATTAAGCGTCTTAGCGAGCTGGCAAATGCGTGGTACAAAACGGTTGAGCGCTAAAACGTTGTATGTCATGTGTTTTAGCGCTCTGGGCTTTCCTGGTCAGTCAATTCAGCAAATACCTGGTGTGTGTGTGTGTGTGTGTGTGTGTGTGTGCAAATTTAAATTTGTGAATCAAATATGTGGGTTTCTTTCATCCCAAAAAAAACTAACCAGATTTATACAACATACCATTGACATGTTATTAACAATAAGAACATGGAAATCATTGACCCAAGCAACATATATGAGCAAAGCAATTCCCCCCCCCCTAAAAAAACTACACAAGAGAAGAACAACCTATGATGCTCGAAATGAGGAAGGAAGAATGTAACATACCTTGTGGTTGATGGTCGAAGGGATGCAGAAGAGAGGCAGAAGAATTTGAAAGTGTGTGAATATGAGAGTGAGTGAGTAGAATATGAGAGTGGGTGAAACGTATGAAATAACCGTGTAAATCATATAAATGACCCAGCGCTAAAACGTTGAAATCAAGCGTTTTAGCGCTAATCTCCAGAGAATGTGCACATGGATGTGCGTAGCATCACGCTAAAACGGTCATGACTGAACATTTTAGCGCTCTGGACCAGAGTTTTTCATTGCGATGCATCTGGATAACGCTAAAACGGACATGAATGCACGTTTTAGCGCTAAGGACCAGGGATGTCATGTTTACCCATCGTTGAACCGATAAAACGTCCATTGGGAGAGTTTTAGCGGCCATCACTTGTCAAATTTTTCTTCTGGCTGAAATTCTGTCGAGCATCGGGCGTGTTAGCGCCCTGGTTGAGCGTTTTAACGCTTAGCTCCAGAATGTTTGGATTTTCATCTTTTTTATTAACATTATTATTATTAAAAGGAAATATATATTACATACCTGATATAGTGGGTTGCCTCCCACTCAGCGCATGTTTACCGTCACGAGCCTGACGTTTCTCAATTAACTTACCTCCATCAGGGCAACTGTAAGAAGTTGCCTGTCTACAGCACTGCCAATGTATATCTTCAACCTCTGACCATTGACGGTAAAGCTTCGGTCAGAATCCAAGGGACTAATTTCCACCGCTCCATAAGGCTTAATATCCTTCACCACAAATGGTCCAGACCATCTGGACTTTAACTTTCCTAGAAATAGCTTCAACCTGGAATTGAACAGCAGAACTTTGTTGCCCACCTTGAAATCCCTGGGCGTGATTTTCTTGTCATGCCATAACTTGGTCTTCTCTTTGTACAAGCTTGCACTTTCATATGCAGAAAGACGGAATTCATCCAATCCAATTGAAGTAACCTTTTCTCACCTGCTGCTTTGGAATTGAAGTTTAAGAACCTAACAACCCACAATGCTCTGTGTTCCAACCCTACCGGTAGATGACATGCCTTCCCAAATAACAATTGGAAAGGACACATTCCAACAGGAGTCTTGAATGTTGTACGGTAAGCCCATAACGTATCATCAAGTTTCTTGGACCATTGAGTCCTAGCATTTCCAACAGTCTTTTCCAGTATACGCTTAAGTTCTCTGTTGGAAATCTCAACCTGACCACAAGTCTGTGTATGGTACAGGGTACATATCTTATGCCTGACTCCATATTTGGCAAGAGCAACTTCTACCAAACGGTTGTCAAAATGTGCTCCCCCATCACTGATTATGGCTCTCGGGACTCCAAATCGCACAAAGATATTCTTTTTCAGAAATGCAATCAAAACCCGAGATTCATTAGTTTGTGTGGCTATGGCTTCAACCCATTTAGATACATAGTCCACTGCCACCAGGATGTACTTATTGGAGTAGGAAGAGGGAAAGGGTCCCATGAAATCCATACCCCCAAACATCAAAAATTTCCACCTCCAGTATACTGTTCAATGGCATTTCATGTCTCCTGGATATATTACCAGTTCTCTGGCAGTTATCACATGCTTCCACATACTTCCTTGCATCCTTGTACAATGTTGGCCAATGGAAACCACTCATCAAAACTTTTGCCGCTGTTCTTTCTCCTGCAAAGTGTCCACCATAGGCTGAACCATGACAGTGCCATAAGAAATCTTGTTGTTCCTCCTCTGGAATACATCTTCTGATTACCCCATCTAAACACCTGTAGAAGAGGTATAGTTCATCCCAAATATATCTCATTGCATCATGCAGAAATTTTTTCCTTTGTTGCCATGTGAAATCTTAGGCATTGCTCCAGCAGCTTTGTAATTTGCAAAATCTGCAAACCATGGTGGATTATTAATCGTCAAGACTTGATCCTGCACCAACTTGAAAACAATGCTTATGGCCAGTATTTGCTCATCAGGGAACTCTTCTTTAATCACTACTTCTGGTCCTTCTTGTAGATTTTTCTTTGTGATCCTGGATAAGTGATCAGCCACCAAGTTTTCAAATCCCTTTTTATCTTTGATTTCCACTTCAAACTCTTGTAGAAGTAATATCCATCGGAGTAACCTGGGCTTAGCATCCTGCTTGGTTAACAAATACTTTAAAGCTGCATGGTCAGTGTAAACAATCACCTATGGTCCTAACAAGTATGACCTAAATTTGTCAAATGCATACACAATAGCCAATAATTCCTTTTCTGTAGTAGCATAATTCTTCTGTGCATCATTAAGAATTTTACTAGCATAGTATATGACATGCAACAATTTGTCTTTTCTTTGGCCTAGCACCACTCCCACAGCATATTCACTTGCATCACACATCAATTCAAAAGGCAGTAAAAAATCAGGTGCCATTATTATGGGTGTAGTGATCAATTTTTCTTTCAGAATGTTAAATGCATAAAGGCATTCATCAGTGAACACAAACTCTTGTTCTTTCACTAACAACTTGCATAAAGGTTTTGCAATCTTTGAAAAATCTTTTATAAAGCGTCTATAAAAACCTGTGTGACCAAGAAAACTTCTCACACCTTTGACATTAATGGGAGGGGAAAGTTTCTCAATAACAGAGATTTTGGCTATATCCACTTCAATTCCTCTTCTTGAAACCTTGTGTCCTAAAACAATGCCTTATGTCACCATGAAGTGACACTTTTCCCAATTCAATACAAGATTACTATCTTGGCATCTTTTTAAAACACAATCTAAATTTTCTAGACAGGCATCAAAAGTATGACCAAATACAAAAAAATCATCCATAAAAATTTGAATGCATTTTTCTACCATGTCAGAGAATATGGAAAGCATGCACCTTTGAAAATTCGCTGGTGCATTGCATAAGCCGAAAGGCATCCTCCGGTATGCAAAGATTCCATAGGGGCAAGTGAATGCAGTTTTCTACTGATCTTCTGGAGCCACAGCTATCTGATTGTAGCCTAAGTATCCATCTAAAAAGCAGTAGAAAGCATGTCCTGCCAATCTCTCTAGCATTTGATCTAGGAATGGAATAGGGAAATGGTCCTTCTGGGTTGCTATGTTGAGTCTCCGGTAATCAATGCACATTCTCTAGCCAGTGACTGTTCTTGTGAGAATTAATTCATTATTCTCATTCCTCACAACAGTCATTCCTCCTTTCTTGGGCACTGTCTGCACTGGACTCACCCAAGCACTATCTGAAATAGGGTAGATCATTCTAGCATCAAGCAACTTCACCACTTCCTTCCTCACTACCTCCTTCATAGTAGGATTCAGTCTTCTCTGTGGTTGCCTCACTGGTTTAACCTCCTCTTCCATCAATATTTTATGAGTGCAGAAAGAGGGGTTAATACCCTTAAGGTCTGAAAATGACCATCCCATGGTTGTCTTGTTCTTTTTAAGCACTTCAATCAACTTTACTTCCTCTCCTTTAGACAACAAAGCACTAATGATGGCTGGGTAGGTTTGATCATCCCCAAGAAACACATACTTGAGATTTAAAGGAAGTTCTTTAAGTTCCCCCTTGGGTGCTCCCTTAGGAATGTCATCTACTTTCTTTTCTAACTCTTTTACTTTCGGTTCTTCCTTATAGTATTCCACACTCGTTTCCTCCTTGAATTTGTCTTCCTCAAGTGAAGAGTTTTCTTCTTCTATCATTTCTTCCACAGCTTACTGTATGATATCTACTTTAAAACAATCCTCCACATCAACATAATGTTTAATAGCTTCAAACACATCAATGGTGATTGTTTCTTCATTCACCCTTAACATCAACTTTCCTTGTTCAACGTCAACCAGATATCTTGCAGTGGCTAAGAATGGTCTTTCTAAGAGTAGAGGACTTTCAGTATCCTCCTCTTCCATATCTAGAATTACAAAATATACAGGGAAAATAAATTTATCCACCTTGACCAAAACATCTTCTACCACCCCTTCTGGTCTCTTAATTGATCTATCTGCTAGATGTAGAATAACATTAGTGGTTTTCAACTTGTTAATCCCCAAAGCTCTGCAGAAGAATAATGGCATCAAATTAATACTGGCCCCCAAGTCACAAAGTGTTTTTCCTACTTCCACATCTCCAATAGCAATAGGAATGCTGAAACTACCTGGGTCTTTTAACTTCGGAGGAAGCTTCTTTTGAATAAGGGCGCTACATTCCTCCGTTAAAGCCACAGTCCCACCATCTTTCAACTTCTTCTTTTTAGACAAAAGATCCTTCATAAATTTTGCATAGTGGGGCATGTTTTCCAAGGCTTCTGCAAATGGAATGTTGATCTGTAGTTTCTTGAAAATATCTAGAAACCTTACATAATGCTGTTTCTACATTTCTTGCTTCAACCTCTGAGGATAAGGAACTTTTGCATGTGGAGATAGATTAATTGGCTTGTCTTGCTTGTCAGCTATTTTCTTCTTCTCCCACTTCATCAACTTCTTGGGTGAATAATTGTTTTCAACAACTACTTCATCTTCTTTCTTATCTTCCTTAACTTCTTCTTTTTCATCATTTTCAACTTCATCATCTTCAACAACAACTTCTTGCTCCTCTTTCTTTTCTTCCACTTTCTTCTGAACTGGTTGAAGCACAAGCCCACTTCTTGTAATAATGGATTTGCAATGCTTCTTTGGATTCACGAGTGTATCACCAGGGAACTTTCCGTGTGATCTCTCAGATATCTGTCTGGACAACTGACCAATTTGGGTCTCCAAATTCTGGATGGAGGCTTCCTGGTTCCTGAATGATGTTTTTGTCTCTTGCATGAATGCAGAAGTTTCTTCTCTGAAAGAATTTGAACCCTGAATATATTCTGTAGTGGTCTTAGATAACTGTGCAAAATCTTTCTCCCATGCAGAGGTATCACCTTGTGGTGAAGAATGTGGTGGAGGAGGATGCAGTGGAGGATTCAACTGATGATTAGAACTATAACTAAACCCTGGGTGTTGATTTCTATTCTTCCATGGTGGAACATACAAATTTCGCCCTAGTTGTTCTGGTTTCTCTGATCATCCCATACCCCATTCACTTCTGCTTGTTATGCAGATCCCCCATAATCACGATCTTCTGTAACATGGCATTTTCCACAAATTGCACACACAGAATTAGTGTCTACAGAAGCAACCTTTAGAGAGGACAGCTGCTTAGTGAGAGCATCCAACTGTTGTTGTTGTTGTTTTTGCATTTGCATCATCTGATCATTCTTGGCTAACAAAGCATCGTACCTATCAAGTTTTATAACTCATGTTCTTCTGTCATTCACTGGAGCATTGTCAAATTCTTGAGATGCTAGAGATTCAAATATGTCAAGGGCTTCCAGAGGGGTCTTGGTTGTTAATGAACCACCAGTCGTGGCATTCACCAATGTTCTTGTGTTGGTTCTCAACCCTTGGAGAAATATTGCTGCTTGATTCCATACTTCGATTCCATGTTGTGGACATTTTCTCAAGAGTGTTTTGAATCTTTCCCAAGCTTCATAGATAGACTCTGATTCTTTTTGTTTGAACCCTGTGATCTCATCCTTCAATTTCGCCCTATTTGATGCTGAAAAGAATCGGGCTAAAAACTTAGTCTGCAGATCGTCCCAAGTTGTGATACTTCCTTGAGGTAATGATACCATCTTCTTTCATCATCCTTCAGTGAATGAGTGAACAATCTTAACAAGATAGCATCTCTAGTCACACCATTGATCTTCACCGTATCGCTCAAAAGTAAGAAATTCTCAATGTGCAGATACGGGTCTTCTGCACTGGTGCCAGCAAATTGTTCTTTATGCACTAATTGTACTAATGCAGGTTTCAACTCAAAGTTGTTAGGTTCCACATTGGGTCGAACAACACTCCCAATTGGTGGAATTACAGTGGGAGCCATGTAATCTCTCAATGTCCTCTGTGGTGGTGGTTTGTGATTTTCTTCCATGACTTCTTCCTGAATTGTCACACTAGATTCACCTCTTTCTTGTAACTTCCTTTGTCTTGCTGCCTTTTTGTTCTTTCTAACTGTCCTTTCTAATTCTGGATCAAACAACAAAGAGTTTGGATTAATAGTACCTCGCATACACCAGAATTGGAATTGAACAAAACTTCACACATAAATATAAATTGCTGAAAATAAATAAAAATTCAATCTCAAATATTAATGGTGTCTGTCAATGTTGAAAGAACAAATCCCCGGCAACGGCGCCAAAAACTTGTTGCGACTTTAGCAAGTGTACTAGTCGTACAAGTAATAAAATGATAAGTAAAGATCGTTCCCACGAGGATTTGTGTTCAAACACCAATTAACCATTTATAATTAAGTTGAATCAAACAAGAATTCATTGAATGCATTGATAATTGTCACCAGAATTTGAATTATATTTGGAATCAGTAAAATAACTAAAATGTGAATTACAATTTTAAAAACAAGTAGTAAGGAAATCAATGTCCCTCAACCATAAACTTATGTAAGAATCGATCCAATCATAAATTATCTCCAATGTCATGTCAATCAATCTCCTAATTATCACTAAGATGTAATTCCTTACTATCTTAGTTGATACATTAATCAAGAAACCCCAATCCCTTGGTGATTTCCTTCTTAATACATACATTAAACACTGAGATTTTAAAGATTACATCAGAGTCCTAGTTCCAATCCCTTGAATAATAGAACACTGATGATGAAATTGCCAGTTACAGAAATAATATAAACATTCATGTTCTACACTACTTCCTTAATAAAAAGAAATAACAAAGACACTTTCATACCATCACATAAAAGATAATCATAATATTCAATCAACCATACATAAATCATCTTTGAGTTCCATTGAAATCCAACTACAAAGGATTCTATTCAGACATAGAAACAGAAATAACAAGAGAAGAGGAAAGATCAAACTCCATTGTCATGTTGTTGAATCTTCAATCTTCAATCACAATTACATAAAGTATACTAAAACTAATACAAGACTAAGACCTATGGAATTTAGAAATTCAGAGAATAAAATGTCAGATACTAAGTGTGAAGGCCCCTTGCCCTTTTATAGTTTACAAGTTCAAAACTGAAATAACATCCAGAAACTGACATGGGCGCTAAGATGCTGGATCGAGCGCTAAAACGCGCTCTTTTGTAATTGTTGTCACGAACATTGGCACGCTAAAATGCTCCTTGTTGGACGTTTTAGCGCTCAACTTGAAGGATGCTTAACCGCTTTTATTTGTCCTCATCGCTAAAATGCTTGACTTGACCGTTTTAGCACTTGAGACCTGCATCTTTTTGAACTTTCCTTTGCAGCAGCGCGCTAAAACGTTTGCTTTGGACGTTTTAGCGCTCAACACCAGCACTTTTGGGCTTCCTTTTGCAGCAGTGCGCTAAAACGTTTGCTTTGGACATTTTAGCGCTCAACACTTCAATCTTCCAAATTCTTCAGAATCTTTTTCCTTCTTTCTTTTGCTTCTTGAGATTCATTTTCCTACAAGAAAAATGTAAATTTTCAACAAAAACTTCAGAACTTGTATTTAGGACTTTCCAGGACATTAACCCTCTTTTCCATCCATTTAATCACACAAATTAAGCTAATTCATGCTTTAAAACCTTATAAATAAAGGGTTTATCCCAACATCAACACCAATGGAGGCTTGGGGTTCTCTTTTATTTACTATTGTTTTTGAATTCAGTATGCTAGGGTAGACTTTTATGTAGTTAGGGGTAGATGGAACCCAATTGAATCGTTTATGTTTATGGATTAAATTATTCTTGAATTCTTTTCTTTTTATAATTGAATAAATTTATCTGTCTTTAATGCTTTTTATGAGTTTGCTCCTTATAGAATGATTTTGGGAAATTGTATGACAATAGGGATGTTGGTGCATGAACCCCGAGTTGATAAATTTATCGTAATCCTTGTGATCTAGGGATAGACATAGGGTAATTGTGCAATCTTGGAATTCTTGATCTTAATGCATATTTTCTTGGAGAATAATCGGGAAACTAGAGTTTTTTCAAGATCACATAGATTTAGGGTAACAAGGAATTGAGCCTAATTAACTTAGAAAGAATTGATTGGCATTATATTAAGAAAAGGTTCTTGACTGTTTAATTCATAACATAACGAGGATATTGGGGGAAGTCAAAACCCTAGCTACGCTTGTTTTAAATTCTTAATTAATCATCATCTTTCCAATTGTTTCTTTTAAATTCTGAATTTTTAATTGCATGTTATTGCTTGTTCTTAATTTTAAAATTATAATTCTCTTAAATCCAATTCTTGATTGTCCAACTAAAAAGCGATTAGAGAACTAGTGCTTGAAAATTCGATCCTCGTGGGAACGATCTCGTACTCAGTACACTTTATTACTTTTACGACCGGTGCACTTGCTGAAGTCGCAACAGGGCTGACCAGCTTAATTAACGAATGGTTGACCCCAATATTAGGATCCCAATGATCCCTAAGGAACGGAGGAAAAGTGGCATGCTCCTGCCAAGCAGCAACAGAATGAAAAGGTCTCTCTCTCCAAGAGTTCACAACAGCTAAAAGAGATAAGAGAATTGGGTTATTATTCGATTTCAATCTAGGAAAAGCTTTAACAATGGCTGCAGCAAAGGCTGTTCTCCAAGAGGTATTGGCATAGATTATGTCTAATCTCTTATAAACCCTATCAAGATGAATCCATTTAGCACCTATCTGTTGCAAACACGGCAAGTATATCGGTCGTATAAGTAATAAAGTGAATGAGTAAAGTATTGTTCCCACGAGGACTAATTACAAGCAATAGTTTCATCATTTTTATCTAAGTTAGACAATTCAAAAGTATTTTCGCAGGTAACCAATATTTAATTAAAAATTAAATATTGATGACAGTAAAAAAATTAATTAAAAGACTAATTTAAAATAAAATTGAGTTTTAAAATCGAGAATAAAAATGCAACTAGGGTCTATTTCACGTCTAATTCCCCTTAAGTGAATTAAATTAATTCAATAAAACTCTAACTCTCTTGTTATCAAACGATTCATCATCTAATTATTAATTGGTTAAATCCCTAATGTCTTAGTTATTTGACACTTTAACCTAATTAGAATCCTAATTTCTTAGAAACTCTTCTTAGATTAAGCATTAAATGCAATGAATCTCACATACTTGATAAACTCTCACCAGTCTATGTCTAGAACAAGCAAAAATTGGTATTTATCCTTGTTCGTTTATAATATTAACTATTTCTATTTAGAACTTTACCCTCTTTATTCCTATATGGACGATCAAGTCAT